ACGAGCACACAGACACACACAGAGGGACGACCACGTGAGGACACAGGGAGAAGACGGCTGCCTACCAGCCAAGGAGAGAGGCTAAGAAGACACCAGCCGTGCCAGCCCCTTGGCCTTGGACTTCCAGCCTCCAGACTGTGGGACAATAAATTTCTGTTGTCAAAGCCCCCAGCCTGCCGTATGTGCTCACAGCAGACTCAAGACTAACACAGACACCATCACGAACGGGAAAAGACGGCCCACAGAACGGGAGAAAAGATTTGCAAATTAGACATCAGATAAGGACCCTGCATCTAGACTCGATAAAGCACTCTTACAACTCAACAGTAAAAAGAGAAACAACCCAATTAAAAACTGGGGGAAGGATATGCACAGACATTTCTCCGAAGAAGATACCCGGTGGCCAAGAAGCGCAAGGAGAGATGCCGACATCACCGACGCAGGGGAATGAGCATCGAAACCGCGGTGAGCTACCGCGGCACGCCCACTGGGGGGGCTGTCACCAAACACGGACAGTCGCAAGTGTGGGTTAAGAACGCAAAGAAACTGCAACACCCCGGAACATTGTTGTTGGGAATGTAACATGTGTCTGCTGACACGATTTGGCAGTTTTTAAAAAAAGTTAAACATAGAATTACAAGACGACCCGGCAGTTCCACTCCTAGGCGCATGCCCGAGAGAATCGAACGCATACGACCGCACACAAACTGCACTGCTTGTTCGCAGCGGCATTGTTTGTGATAGCTGAAAAGTGCATTTCATCCCGTTTTCTGGTATGAAAAGAAAAAAAAGTGGAAACAACCTAAATGTCCATCAGTGATCGCCTGAATGGATAAACACAGTGTGGGCCATCACGCAATGGAACATCGATCAGCCGTGAAAAGGGACGAGGCTCTGACACAGGCCACAGCGTGGAGGGACCTTGAGGACGTCGTGCTCAGTGAGAGACGCCAGACACAGAAGGACACACAGTGTGAGACTCCGTTTATAGGAAACGTCCAGAACAGGCAGAGCCACAGAGACTAGACGTGGATTCGTTGTTGCCAGGGGCTGGGGAGTGGGTGGGGAGTCACTGCTGATGGGGACGGGGCTTCCTTTTTAGGGGACAAAAATATTCTAAAATTGATTTCAGTAATAGTTGTGCAACCTTCTGAATATACTAAACAAAATTGCAGTGCACACATTAAACGGGTAAATTGTATAGTATGTGAATTCTATCTCCATACAGCTGTTTAAAACATCCTTCAGATGTTTTAAGATAAGGGAAAAAAAAAAAACACACACGCACACACACGATGTGACTTGTATTTTATTCAATGACATTTTTAACATTTATGACTTTCATCAAAAATGCATTCATGCCTATGTACTCGTGAACAGCACGTGACTGCCGCGCTAATAAATTGCACTCAAAATGCTTTAATGGAGTATTAAACGTTAGTTCATTCAACAAACGTTTATTAGGGGTGTAGTACACAGATCAGCTCACTACAGTCTTACATTTTTAAATGGTCAGGGCAAAAAAAAATAACAAGAAGAATTAAATTTTCTGACATGTGCAAATTATGTGGAATTCAAATTTCAGTGTCTATAAATAAAGTTTTATTGGCACCCGGCCACGTTCACTTGCGTACGTGTGGTCTGTGGTTGCTTTGCCACTACGGTGGCTAAGTTGAGTTGCTGAGACAGAGACAGTCTAGTCTGCAAAGCTAAAAATATTTGCTATCTGCCCCTCTGTGGGCAATGGATGCTGATGGTGGGATGTCTGCAAGGTCTAGAGTCGGGGACAGGCAGTCTCTGAGGTCCCCATGCCCTGGAGGGCAGGCAGGACTGCGGACGGAATGAGGAGGCAGAGGTGGCTTGCCAAGGCTTGTCCTTTGCCACGGACACGGAGCATAGTAAGGGTGATCTGCGGGTCACTGTGCCCAAAATAGTCCAGGACGGGACGGGCACATGGGAGAGGTGGTTCCAGGGTAGCTGGAGCCCCGCACGGCCACCCAGCACCTTGGTCATTATTGTTTAAAAAAAAACAAGAGGCCCGGCGTGGTGGCTGACGCCTGTAATCCTCGCACTCTGGGAGGCCAAGGCGGGTGGATCGCTCAAAGTCAGGAGTTCGAGACCAGCCTGAGCAAGAGCCAGACCCTGTCTTTTCTAAAAAATAGAAAGAAATTAGCTGGACAACTAAAAATATATATATAGAAAAAATTAGCCGGGCATGGTGGCGCATGCCTGTAGTCCCAGCTACTCGGGAGGCTGAGGCAGTAGGATCGCTTGAGCCCAGGAGTTGGAGGTTGCTGTGAGCTAGGCTGATGCCATGGCACTCTAGCCCAGACAAGAGAGTGAGACTCTGTCTCAAAAAAAGAAAAAAAAACAAAAAACAAAAAAGAAAACAAGAGTAAGAACAGTGGCTATAGGGCGTATTGCGTGAGCAGCTCAAAGAAACAGAAGATGACAGGTGTTGGCAAGGACGGGGAGAAACTGGAACCTTCCGGCGTGGCTGGGGGATGCGACCCGGCGCGGCCACTGCGGAAGACAGTCTGGCAGGTCCGCGAAGAATTAAACATAGAGTCGCCATAAGACCCAGCGATGCCCCTCCCGGGCGTCCGCCACAGGAAGGGAAAGCAGAGACTCCAAGAGAGCCTCGCAGCCCATGGTCACGGCGACAGGAGTCACAGTCGCCAAAAGGTGGAACGACACAAGTGCCCACGGATGGATGGATCAACACAGCACGGTACGTCCACATGCGGAACATCACTCA